TTAGTGTCCTTAAAGGAATGAGGGTTTATAAGTTCAAAGAATCATCCAGTTCCACCCCCTGCCATGGGCAGGGACACCTTCCACTAGCCCAGGTTGCTCCAAGCCCCATCCAACCTCCCTTGGACACTTCCAGGGATGGGGCAGCCACAAGTTCTCTGGGCAACCTGTGCCAGGGCCCCACCACCCTCACATGGAAGAATTTGTTCACAGGATCCAATTTAATTCTTCCCTCTGTCAGTTTGAAGCCATTTGCCCTCATTCCATCTCTCCATGATCTTGTCCAAAGTCCCTCTCCAGCTCTCGTGGAGCCCCTTTAGGCACTGGAAGGTGGTCTAAGGTCTCCCCTTCTCCACACCTTCTGTTCTCCAGGTTTAGCAATCCAGTTTTTCCTCATAGGAGACGTGTTCAACTACTCTAATCATTTTTCCTGGAATCCAGCTTCAGAGCCATATTAAAGCCACACTGCAGCTTCTAGATTTACTGCCTCTGAGTCTCTTAATCCAGTCTCTGCACAGGACCACCTCGCCTCAAGCTGTCCACAGCCAACTTCTCATACTCTACCTTTTCATAAATGATCTCAAGTTTCTCAAATTGGCTTTGAAAATTGAGGCACCTCGGTCCAGGAGCTGTTGTAAGACATTTTAACCTGCACAGACCAAGGATGTCCTGTGTAAAATATCTTTTAAGAGCATGTGATGTTTACAGTGTCATGGAAACCACACAGCACCTGGAACTCACCTCGATGCCAAGAGCCAGAGATCAAAGAAAATGCTCTGGTTCAAGTATCTGGCAAAAGACTCAATGTTCCCTTCTTATGGATAGTGAAGAGTTGTCCCTTTAAGCACAACTTCCATGAAGTGTCATCTGTTGTAGTGATGTATAATTCCCTCAAGCAAAAGAAAAATTTAAAAAACCCACAGCACTGAAACTTGAAATCTTGAACTACTGATAAATATTTATCTTAGAAATAAGTCACTTTTTCTTTATAAAATTGGTACTTGTTTCTACAAAAACTACTAGTAGTGAGTGACATCACAAAAACAGGTTGTTTTCACTGTACCAACAATCCTTCCACACCCTGATTGAAATGACAAATAAAATATCTGATTGAAAATGCCCTTTTACCTTCTCTAGTTTTATAAACAAAGCTGCTAAGTAGAGACTGCTTCCTTATTTCAGAACTAACGTTGGAATTATTATCTTTTAGCCAATGAAAACAAACAAATTAAGAGTGTAAGTATATACAAAGTGTCCTTAATGGGGTGACTTTTCCTTAGCTCATGCAGCAGACAAGGCCCTGGATCATACAGAGAGGCAGGAGCAACAATTTTCTTTCCATAAAGAAACCTCTGTTTTCTGCGTGACCTTTTTGATGAAAAACAAATTAAAATAAAATAAAATAAAATAAAATAAAATAAAATAAAATAAAATAAAATAATGCACATTGGTCATTAAGGCTTTGGTACTTGATTCCTAATTTTTACATTTCTACAAATACGAAGAGACAAATTATTACAAAACAAACTTTGTTGAGGGTTAACTTTTCATCACCTACTCAGCAGAAACTGTCCATACCTCAAGTATGGTCAATGTGAAGTTTGGGGTTTCCTCCATAATAAACTTACCCTGGGACAGGACAGGAAAACTAAGCAGAGTTACCAGAATAATGTAAATGCATATTTTGTATTACATCAGGCTTTTGCAATCCTACCCAAATCACGCAGGCCCTCTGAAGAACTGACTATTTTACTCCTTCAAAAGACTGGTGCCAGTATTTTCAGAAATAACCAGTGATTTGAGGTCCTCATGGTTTCATGGGGCTCCCCACCACCACGAGGAAATGGTGCCTTCTCCAAGTATTTCACTTTCAGCAGCTGAATCTTCAGAGCCCCCAAACCACTTCCCACTGCTGGAAAACTTGGCTGATGGTGGTTCCATCCTTTCCAGGCTCTTCAGCTTTCCTCTGATTTCTGAAGTGACCATTTCCTGTCTTTTCAAATTAGCCCATTAGATACACTGCAAACGTGAACAAAATGGAATCTGCCCCAGAAAAGTGAAAACTTGGAAACAACAGACTCGAGGTTGTCGTTTTTTCTCTACCTGGTAGGTAAACACAGAGTGACTTCAGGGATTCCACAATGATGTCAGCCATCACATCCCAAAGTTTTCCCAGATTTGACCAGTGTAAGGGCAGATTTGTAGAAAAACAAGTAGCAGCAGGTTTATCAAATTAGGTGTGACTTTTACCCACAATGATTTTTTTCACAGCTGTTTGCTGCTTCTCATTATTATCCCATTGACCTGATGAGGCCCATGAAGCATTTACAGTTTAATCTCCTGGATAAATTTCCACTAGAAAATTAACTATTAAAAAATGAAGAGGAAATCTGGGCTTTTACTCTCTGACCATCCCTTTAGATGTTTTATTTGTACAGGACATTCTGTACAAGACAAAGCTAAATAAACACTTTGTACAAGGGTGGTATACATGACACCTTGCCAAAATAGTAGCTCTGTTTACATATTCATCTCCATACCCAAAATGCCATGCCTGTTGTTAGTTAAGGGGTCAGTTTTCAGCACAGGGTGTAATTTTTTATGCCACAAAGACAAGAGAATGAATTGAAGGCATCGTGCAGACCAAGTGCCAATGTCACCCCTGTCTTTTAATGCTCAATTATCCAACTGTCTCTGTTTTGGTTGTTTCAGGAAGTCACATTATTTGGGTAAAGAAAAAAAAAGAGAAACAATGAAGAGGAAAATATAATTTAAAAAAAAATATGGATGCAGGCTGCTGGAACAGGATATGTTTCTACACAGATCTGTGCAAAGGTTTTTGTGTTGCCATATAACATTTTGCATTGCTTTGCCTGACTCAAAAAGCCCCTTAAGATCTAAAGGGAAATAATTTCTGGTGCTTTATATTGAACAAAAACATGCAAGTCTTCTTCTTGAAGCAGACAGTGATCAGGTAATGCTCTGGCATTATTTTTTGAGAATATTTAGATATAAATTAATGTTCTGGTTGGGGATTTCTTCCATATGGAAACACGTCCCAGAAAATCTGAAGAGCTGTTCCTTTGCCTGGTAAGGACACTGGGGAATGAAGATCCTGCCTTTAGGTTCCAGGAGCAAGGATGGGGGAAGGAGCTTAGAAATGCTGAGGTTCTCAATGTTCCAGCTCAGTGGATTTACCCCACACAGGTGGTAAGTGAGGGTTTGGGGAGGTGTCCAGCTGCTTTATTTCTGCCTTTGTGAGTGAGGGAACAGCTGAATCTGGAGTTAGTTCTTTATAATAGATGGTAGGTGGACAGTGGACTTTTCAGACCAAATATACAAGGACACAATGACTGACAACAGGTGAGAGAGATCTGTTTGAACAGTTTTCACAAAAATAATCCCCAGAACCAGTGATGAAGAAGCCACAAAGTTGTTTGGGGTCTGTTTTAGAAAAAGGGTCAGAGTTCAGGGCCTCTCCTCATCTTCATTTATCCTCCAAGATAATCCATAAAACACAATTTATTTCCAAGCCCTATTCACTAATCTACCCTCTTTCTTACACCCTGAAAACCCCTATATCTTCATGGGTAAAATCCACTGGAGGAATCCCCTTGGGCTCCCTTTATACTCACCAACCTGCAGTCTGGCACACAGTTCTCATCCTAAAGCAAAGATAAATCACACCCTGATATCTCCCCTGCTCTGACCAGAGGAGAACAGATCCTCTGGACACATCTGCACTGCAAACATCCACATTTCAGTCAGATAAAATCTGGCCTGTCACAAAACAGCTCCCCCCCCTTCCCCAGATGAACACTTATCTGTGCTGCTCTGCTATCAGGGAATGGAAGGTTATCTCCAAACTGACACACTTTAAAGCAGTGCTTTAAAATAAATGATGCAGGTTTACTACACTGGAAAATCCAGAAAAGAATTTTTTTGGTCCCAAAAATCTTCCAGCATCTCTACAGTATTTTCTGTCCAAATGCATTCTGCAAAAAAAAAAAAAATAAATCATGCTTTACATTATAGATGTAAAATCTCCCTGTGAGGTAGGTGGGAAAATTAAAGTATATTTGATTCATGAAACAAAGTGTGGGCTTTAGAACACAGAAATGTTGAGAGGGGAAAAAGGCTTTGGAAGAGGGATCTTTGGCTGTTTGGGATCTCCCACTCCCAGAAACACTGAAGCTCACAGTGAGGCCAGTATCTTAAAGGCATTATTGAATCTCCCTGTAGCTGACAGTGCAAACACATCCCTGTACACAGAGATAAAAGGGTTTGCCAACATCCCTGTAGGAGAGTCAGGAATGAGCTTGGAGGTGATGCTGCTGATGCCTCAGGGGCTGAATGGGGGATCTGTATATCACAAAGTTTGTCTGCTGTTCTAAACCAAACACATTATATTACAGTGAATTAAATAAAATTAAAATTACTGAAACTCTGAGACGCTTTACTGCATAGAATGGCTTTAAACTGACAGTGGGCAGGTTTAGATCAGATATTTGGAAGAAATTCTTCCCTGTGTGGGTGCTGAGGCAACAGAAGCTGTGGCTGCCCCATCCCTGGAAGTGTCCAAGGCCAGGCTGGACAGGGCTTGGAGTAACTTGGGCCAGTGGAAGGTGTCCCTGCCCATGGCAGGGGTTGGAACTGGATGATCTTTAAGGTCCCTTCTAACCTAAACCATTCCATGATTCTATGATACAGATATTTGATGTGAATGGGAAGCTAAGGGGGAGACAGACGCTCATCCAAAGACTATCTAAACCTTTCTGGTACTTTGTTATGGCTCATATTCAAGTTGGTTTTCAAATCTAATTTCCCAAGACCTTTATTTGCAGAGTCCTTTCAGTTTCTCCACACTACCAACAGTAGGACACTGAATTTTTGTTGGAAATCGATTTTCCATGAGTTTATCAGGACTCAGAGGAGTTTGCATACCAACTAGGAAGAAGGTGCTATGATCAACATCAGAAAGTAAAAGTTCTTTATTAAACTCTCATGAAATATTCACTCAAGAGAGAGGAATAATTCTAGAAAGACCACTTATCTGCCTTTTTTCCAAGGCATTTTTTTCCAATCTTCAGTACAGTAACTTGTTCCAATTTTGGTCAAGTGCTGCTAAAACATGTCACTTACAGAATTAATTTCAGAATACAAACTGCTGCTTCAGTACCTCATGATATGTCTCCACGGTACCTCATTCCAGTACATGCACTTTATTTAATCATGAAAACTGGTATCTATCACAGATAGGCACCATTTAAATTTCAAACCTAACAACTCTTATGGTTTATTTGTAATTCTGAAGGAGCAAACCACAGATCTAATCTGTAACTTGGGAGTATAAGTAACAGTATAAATGTAAAGATACTGATACAGCTGCCTCTTATCCAGGAAGAAAAATGAGCTATATCAGCACGAGGCACTGTTACACACCAACTGCACCCAGTAGCAAGAATGTACTAGTGCTATTATCTTGGTAACACAAAACCACAATTCTTACTGCAAATTTATGACACAACAAGAACTTTGTATAGGCCAGGCTTTATCTGAAAAGCCCTTACGGTCACCAATCTATTTAGTGCTTATAATAGCAGGTAAGGAAGTGAATATATTTTTCTCAGATGATATTTTATACTGGCACTGGAGTTTTGCTGGAGGAGAACAAGGCAGTACAGAGAAGGCATGCCCAGAGAGAGAAATCTGGGTTCAGCATCTTTCATCAGATGCTTTCAAACAATTGCAGGATACAGAGTGGATCCAGAAAGAGACCTCAAGGGGACGTTGATGACTTCACTGCTTCATCTGTAACCTTGGTTTGGTGGTGGGAACTCAGCCTGCCCTCAGAAGTTTTATGCTGAAGGCAGTGACAAGGGATTTACGTAAGTGTTGTTTATATTTTACGCAAAATATCTGAAGCACAAGGTGATTGAGGTGAAACTCCTCCAGCCTGTAAACCATGTCATTCTTCCTCAACAGACACTGCACAACTCTTGTCCTATTTCCTTTATTGGTGGGAATAGGAATGTGCTAATTCAGTCATTTCCTTTTTGTCCTGGCCAATGAAGTGCAGGTCATGTCAGTCACAAGATTGGTTCCGTGCCATTCCAGTCGATGACAGCTCCTTGCCACCTAGAAATGAGAGCAACCATTTGACATCCATCAGTTAATCAGGTTCTTGGAGAGGCAAACCCACATCCCTCAACCACCCAGCAAACCTCAAAGGGATTGGGATGGACTTATCTGGGATAACTAACCATATCTCAAAGGGAAAGAACAGAAGTGAGGTGGTCGTACCCCCTCATTTTAGGTGCCCAAGGCTGGAGGTGCCTCCTCACCCTTTCCTCCAGTCCCTCCTTGGCAACAGAGAGTCCTCAGCAGCAGCTGGTTCAGAAGAAGGACCTTCATGTTGCAAAGACCACAGGGAATACCCACGAAGGGTACAAGAATTAACCCTATATAACCAGAATACTGTGTCTCAGCTGTCAGCAGGCAATTTGCACCCTCCTCTTCAGCAGGGCTCTGATCAGGAACTCTCTGATTCTGAGACCCTGCGCCCAGATCACTTCATTTATCTTTGCTCCTTACCTTGGTTCCTTCAAAGCATTCAATGCCTCATTTTAATGGTGATGTTTTGCTTTTCCTATGCTGAGGTTTTGCCTCTCCCTGCCCTTATTCCCTCTTCAGAGTAACACTGAAGTTGCACACTGAGAACAGCGTTTCCAGGTGAGTCCACACGAACACGCACAAAACCATTCCACGTTTTAAATGCTTGCCCTGCACTGGCTGCCAAAGCTCAGCTTGGCTTCAGGAATGTGACAGTGTAAAGGAAGTATCAACCCTGAATTTGCCACAAAATGGGTCTTCAGATCACAGCAGAAGACAAAGATCTGAACCAAGACTCAGTCAAGGCAGGACGATGCTCTCCAGTCACACTGCACTGAGTCAACTGCCTGCACAGCCAGAGCCCCTCATGGCACAAATCCACCCTTGTCTGGGGCAGTTCTCATTTGCAAGGTCATGGCCCACATTTTCTGGGAATGAAATTCTTACATTCCCAGTGCTGAGTGTTTATATCTGTTTTGAAAATCTTTCTAGGGAGCATGTTCACAGCAGTGAGACACTGGGGAGGGGGTGGAGGCCACGGTGAGTTGCCAGAGTGCCACATTCCTCCTGTCACCGAGGAAAGGATGTGTCAGCAAGGGTATGGCAGCTCAGGCCTTTTGCTGAGCAAGTCAATTAAGTGTAAAACAAAACCAAAAGCTGAATCCATGCAGCATTCAGAGCAATGTCTCAAAGGAAGTGACCATCTGAGGGCTGTTGTGAAATTTTTCCTTCTGTGTTTTTCACTTTGCTGAGAAAATAAAAATTAAAAAAAGAAAAAATGCAGAAAGACTGTTTCCCATCCCAGGACTTAGCAGGAATACACAGCAGAGATGTCTCACATCTTAAGCTAAGAGCAGAATATTTTCTAGCTGAGGATATTCGACCTGGCACTTGCCAGTGGTGAGAGCTCTTCAGGGTATCACCCCCAAAATGACCCAATGCAAGTAGAAAATACAATTGTCACCTTCTGCCCCCACTGGATTTTTCAGGTCATAACACAAATCATCCCTAATCTTTTTGTACAATCTTTCAAAAGTGCAACCTTCTACCTCACCAGAGTGATTAAAGCTTTGAGAGGGATCCACAGAGACCCCAGAGAGGCCAAAAGAGTGAAACCTGCTCTGAGACTACACTGTACTCTGGAAATACTCATAATGTGACACTATTTTTGCTGTTGTTAAAGATGTTGTTAATCACTCTTTAGTGAGGAACTGGCCTTTTTTAAAGCAGGCTTTCCATAAAGAGTTTAAACAGAAAATTATATTTTGAATCAGGGCTGAAGGCAACTTACAGAACAAGCCTTATCTCCTGGGTTTATTTTCAAACCATTTTTTAGACTGATTTCCCCTGTTGAATGTGCACAAGAAGAGGTGTCAAACAGTGGAGATCTCACTCACAGGTGCTAAACAAGTCTTTTATTCACAGACAGAAACAAAACTGCCCAGACAATGCAGAGGGATCACTTCCCCAAACTATCCTGCCACGAAGTAATTCCAATGCAAGGCATTTTCTAGCTGCTGATTCAATTATAATTTATCAGATTAGCAAAACTAAAACTACATTAGACCCATGTGGTTCAATTACAACCTCACCCAGGGGTCATGGAGTTAACGGGAACTGAGGAGGAACCGGTTCAGGCCCTGAACAATGCTCAGTCTGGAATAACATTCAGTGAGTATCTCCTGGACTAATAATTTGGTATTGTTTCAGAGCACATCAGTAATTCAGGGTGAAATGCCCACGTTCTCCTCTTCTCCATTAAATTCCCAGTGGTTGTCTCACTGCAAAGCCAAACAGATGCACTGAGGCATCACACAGCCCCACCAGCACAGACTGATGGTAGAGGGTTAACAAAATATACCTCTGAATTCAGATTGCAATATCAGATCCCAGTTTTATTCCCCTCAGGCAGAGCTAACAGATGTTATTTCCTCCTGTGCAGAGGGATGCCGAGGATCAGGGCTGTGATATAAGAGAGTTCTTCAGGGAAGAGCAGGATAAAATGTCTGCACGGTATCTCCAAAACAACCCAGGGATGCACATTCCAGACATCCTTTGCTCAGAATCTGACTGCTCCCACAGATGTCTGGGGCTGAGAGCCACAGTAAAAGCACTTCTGCTTGTCCTGAACCTTTTTTTGGGAGCCTGCATGTTATAGTGATACCTGTTGGTGACTGGTCACTCCAGCCACCTGCTTTAAACTCAAACCTCACTCTTCTGACATTTTATAGACTGGAAACATGAGCCTCCTCCTCCTCCTGCAGAAGCAAAACAACCTTTCTCTCCTGATAATAATAAAACTCTAAATAATAAAACAGAAACAGTCTATATTACATATGCACTTTCCCCTTTGGGAGAGGACAAGAGAACAAATAGCAGACAGATGTTGGGCAGAGAACTCAGTGTGTTACAGGACGGTGGTGCTCACGTATTGAGGTAAACAATGGGAATGTCATGGATTAAAACAGAACTGAGGCATGTGAATGAAAGGAAAAAAAACCTCAAATAACAATAAAACCAATTAATAACAGTTAATCTTCTCAGTTCTGATTGTGCAGACTGTGACATTCTCCACTCTGCCTGAGAAATTATCCTACATTTTTTGACGAGAAAAGTTTGATAAGGACCTTCATCATGAATACTTCATCAAAATTAGTAACAGCTCTTTGCTGGCTTTACTAAAAATTAGTTTAGGAGTGATTTCCATGGTTTTACGACAGAAAACATTCCTTTTTTTTATCTCCCAATTTGTTAAAACATTGGTTAGTTGGGTTTGTTTTTACTTTTCCTTATATGCTGTTTCGTAATTGGAAGAGAAAGTTCTTAAAGCAAAAGGGAAAAATTTAACATGAAAAACCTTTTGCAGCAAGGCCACACTTAACTAAACAGGCCCAAAGCAAGTGGAGAGCACTGAAAACAAGGAGCCAGAATGATCAGGGTAAATCAGACAGTCCTGAGAATGGTACAAACAAAATAAACTGGCACTGGAATTTGCTGCTAATTTACTTCTCCAGCAGATTAAAGCAGGGAGCTTAAAATAAACAAACACCAGCATTACAAACACTGTATAACTTTGATACAACGCCAGGAATGGAGAGCAACTTTAGGTAGTTGCATGCATTATTCCCCCTGGGGGGGGGTTCTGAGGTTACACATTATTTATTCTAGTTTGGAGTCAAGCTTATGTGTTACTGGAAGAGAGGAATCAATAAATCTGTATGTGCAGGGAGCCTGGACTGATGTCACTGCTGTCACCTCTCAGGATGCCTCTTCTGCCTTCTTGTAGCTTTATAATGGCAGCCCTTCATCAACACACTGCTTGGCAGGTCTTGACCTTATTTATTTATTTTTTGATGGGGTTTTTTTACAGAACAAAATATGGCAAAGAGAGGAGGGAAATTGCAAGAGAAATCTGAAGCTTGGCTTGCTGATTTAACAAATGTCACGGTCTTTGACAATGAGGCTTTTACTTCTTGCTCCAGAGACATCCAGACAGTAACTTTCCAAGCCATGCTGGAGCTGATATAAAGCTGATTTTTCTACCCAGTTAGATTTCTCCATTTTCTTTCTTTCATGTCTCACTAAGCTGAAAATGTTTTCATTAACTTCAGTATGACTTGGATAAGTTGCTTAAAAGCCCATAGTTTAATATCATATAAACCTCAAAATGGCCATGAGAATCCTAACAGGACAGGAACTAGCCTTGTCTTTAGGGAGAGAATATGAGCTAAGAGCTGTCATGAATGACTGCACAAAACACAGTGTTTTGTGGTCTTGACAAACTCTTTGCTGCCCACAGACAGCTGGAGAAAACTGAGACTGCTGAGCAAAGGGCTTCAGGCCTAGAAAATGATACCCAAGTCCCCCGGTGCAACTACACTTTTCAGAAATAAACTTTCTCCTTTTCTCCTTATACCTCTGCAATAGGGAGCAACCACTTTTGGGAATCTAAATTTACATCTCTTGAAACCCAGTTGTGCTCTCAAACCAAATCTGGCTCAGTCAGTTCTTGGTGATGTCATGAATGAAGGAATGAAGTGAACACCTTTGCCAGGTCAATGTTAGCTACAATAACACACAATTAAATGTGTCATTATTGTCACAGCCTGGCCTGTTCAGATCCTTTCTGATTTTTAAGCAGTAATTTTTATCAAGTTTACTTGCACCAATATTTTCACTATGCTCCAGCCCTACATACATTATATCAGTGACTATTTTCTGCATGAAAACCTGTCATTTCACTTACTTTGTCCTAATACAATGCTCAAGTGGAGGAGTGAGATCATTTTCTTTATCTTCAGTGCACACCTGAGTTGTATCTGCAGAGACAAAACAGACATTTGTCAGTGGCTGGAATCACTTCTATCCATACAGGATCCCACAATGGCTTATAGGAACTCCACACATGGAAGTGATGGATTATCACTCACACTGCACATCTCCCAGCCCACTTTGGACTGAAATATCCTGGAGGGTGAGCACTTCTGTCACGTGAACACCATCTCCTGCCCTCATTCACACAATTTGGATGGATGCCCCATCCCTGGAAGTATCCAAGGCTGGGCTGGATGGGGCTTGATGCAGCCTCATCTAGTGGAAGGTGTCTCTACCCATGGCAGGGGGTTTGGAATGAGATGATCTTTAAGATTCCTTCCAAACCAAACCATTTTATGACTCTGTGACCTAAAAAGAGTGGCCACAGACAGGGCTGGGAATACTCAGAGCAGATACAAAAACTACGGCTCACGGGAAATACATTTTTTTGGGAAATACATTTAAATACATTATTGTGCCCAGTATTAGTTGTTCTGGGCCAGAAGCTTGCCCAGAATTGTGCTGGCTACTGAACAGTCAGGATGATCGTGGGACAGTGTTCAGACTCACTGAACCATAGAAATATTAAGGTTGGAAGAGACCTCTCAGATCCCTGGGTCCAACCATCGAGCCAGCACTGACACACCCACCACTAAACCACGTGCCCTGACCCAGGATAGTTCACTAATACAGAGATGGTTTCAAGGAAAACCACAGATCACAAAATGAGGGCTGTCGTGAGGCTTTTATTTCACAACTCATGTCATAATTACTGAGCAAGTAATTGCTGTTACTCAAATACTAAGAATGGTGGTAGTAAAACACTGGAACAGCAAACCCCAAGTCCAGCCCAAACTGGTTTAAGACTCTTTTACCCTGGAAAAGAAGATTGTCCCCTGACTACTTAGCAAGCAATGCACAGAGAGGAGAAGAGGCTGTGTTGGATTATCAGAGAGCTGCCCCAGGCTGTGAGCATTCCTTTGGGACAGGAGAGGAATCCCACTGTTCCAGGGAAAACAGAGAGGTCACTGTCTCAGACAGGGGATCTGTCAACAGTGAAAGTAGTCGCTGAACTTCCCAGGGACAAAACATCCTGCAACCAGCTTGGATGTCAGTCTGCTCAGCTGTTTCCTGTTTTGGAGTAAAACATTTAAACTGCAGCAGGTTATTTTTTTTTTTCTCTTTCTTCTTCTCTGCCTGTCATCCAGCCAATGGATTGGTTGCAAGCAATGAGTGATGCCAAGACAGGGTGTAGGATTTGGGTCTGCTTCAGTGAGACTGCTGCAGACAGGATGGGAGGGAATTGTTCCTACATTCCCAGCTGCCAGTCTCAGATAGATCTGGCTTTCTCATGTCACAGAGGGAACCTAGCTCTCCCTTGTGTGTTGATCTGATCAGCATAAATACATGCAGAGAACTCTGAATGACTGTAAGGGCTGGAGTAGGAAATGGATAATATTTAGAAGTGCATAAAGTGCTGGCAGTTTTTTCAGAGATCTTCAGGAACTTTGAGGTGCACAGGAATCTCTTAATTTTAAAAGAGTTCTCTTTTATCCTAATATTGAAGAGTTTTTAACATAGAATCATAGAATCATTGAGGATGGAACCTTTAAGATCATCATCAAGTCCAGCTGTCAACCCAGCACCACCACCTTGTTCAACACTAAGCCATGTCCTCAAGTGCCACCACGTTTTTTGAAATCTTCCAGGAATGGTGATTCCACCCCTTCCCTGGGCAGCCTGTTCCGATGCTTGACAACCCTTTCTGTGAAGAAATTTTTTCCCAACATCCAATCTAAACCTCCCCTGGAACAATTTGAGGCCATTTCCTCTTGTCCTATGACTTGTTACCTGGGAGAAGAAACCAACTCCACCTGCTACAACCTCCTGTCAGGGAGTTGTAGAGACTCAAAAGTTCTCCCCTGACCTTCCTTTTCTCCAGGCTGAGCCCCCCCAGCTGCTCCTGGTGCTCCAGACCCTTCCCCAGCTCCATTCCCTTCTCTGGACAGGGTCCATTAGAGGTCTCCAACAGTATTTGGACACCTCTAGGAATTCCTGATACTGATGTTCTGGATGGTCTCATAGTGAGAAGCAACAGCCACTGTCCTGACCATAGCACAGGTAGCAGGACAGGGACATGGCATGGCTGCCTTTTGAAGTCACTGCCCACTGGATGAATGTTGGCATTTTCAGCTTTGAATTCTTCCAACCAAGAGGCCTGAATGGAGATTTTTCACACAAAGGGATAGGAAAGAAAAATATCAGTAAAGGTGTATCTTACAGGAACACTTAGAGACGTTAAATTAACTAACAAACTGTGTGTTAAAGTGTTTCATACAACTCATTGAGAGCAAGTAATATTGAAGCAACACTCTTCCATCCTGGAGCCATCAACAGCAAGAAGGATGTGAATATAATCTCTTTCATCTCCACTTACATTCTAAGCTAAAGGTAGTGAGAAACTGAGCACCACCACAGATTTCATTGCTTGTGCTGCCTTCCATGGGATCTGGAAAGGGGCTGAGGATGGTGTCTGTGACTCTGGAAGAATCTTCTGAGGAATTTAGTTATATTATTCTTAGCAATTATCCAGCTGCTGTTTGAAAACACCTTGAAAAGGATCCTGAGTTGAAGGTATGAACCAAGGAGACATAAGAGAGATTTTTTTAAAACAGATTGCACAAAAATTCCCTATATCTTCACTTGGAGAGAACATATTATAAATGTTAACATAGGTAGGCATCAACTGTATTAGAAAAGAGCAGTAGTATCTCTCTGGGCAGTACAGCACACTCTTTCATATAATATATATAACAAAAGTCCCAGAACCTCCACACTGTCCCCAAACAGCTGACATAAGAAGGTGAGCAAAATGCAGAGAGTTATTAATTCAGATACAGTGGCTTCTTTTCCTTCTCTGCTTATCAGAAATTTCTATCCCAATAGAAAGGATCAAAGAACCTTCATCCCTTTAGGATTGTTGAATTCATTAGCAGGTGTTTTATACCAGCAGGAATTTTATATCTAGTGGAAGGAGTCCCTGCCCATGGCAGGGGGGTTGGAACTAGATGATCTTTAAAATCCTCTCTCACCCAAACCATTCTATGATTTCTTGTCTATATTTTGGCAAATAGTTATGGGGATGAGAAGCAAGACAAATTCTCAACATAAAGTGGCAACTGTTATTACTCTCAAAATTCCACTCTTTCACTCTATCTGTTCTACCTTTCTTGCCCAGTGTAATGTCTTCAAGATTTCCTAAAATGTGACCTTGATTTTAATCTCCCTAATTACAGTCAAATTCTCATTTTAAGGAATTTACCCTCCTGCTTTGTGAAAAGCAAACAGCTTTGCTGACCAGCACCAGTGAGATGTGGCTGGGGCAGCACCTTGCACCTCATGCTGTATCTCCAGGTAACACTGCTTAACCATCATCTCCTGGTGGCATTTCCACAAGGGAAATACCAGTAATATTCAGCATTTTGATATTTCCATCTGGTTTTGTGTGCATGGTTGAGATGCAGGACCAGTGCTACCTTTTGGATGCAAAGTAATTTCAGTTTTCTCCAGACCTAGCAGAGGATTATTGCACAGCCAGAACTAGGACAGGGCTTCCCTGGAATGATGAAAATATTTGCATTTTACTGTGTTTTGCTGAATGTCACAGATAATAGGGGATTTACTGGGACATATCCCTGGAAGAGGCCACAGCCACAGCAAAGAGATTTCTATCTCTCCATGCAGGTTTAGGTTCTGAGGAGAAATACAGAGCTATGCCAGGACAGGTAGAACAGTAAAGAGAAAAATTTATGCATGTTCTGAGCAATTCCTCATCCAGGGATCTTAAAGCACCTGGCAGCTCTGGATTTTGGAAACACTCCTGATTTATTAATGATGGAAAGACAGATAAGGGCTCCTGGTTTGAACCATATGTTACATGGTGCAACACAACAGAAAAAACGTGTTTCTAGTCCTGCCCTGAACTTTCCATGTCATTTTTATCTGGGAGAGACCATGTGGGAACCAGCTGGCAACTAAAGTCCTGTAAAAGTTTAAGCATTTTTTCAGATAATATATAATCTGACCCCTACAATAGAATGACAGGGATTTTAATAAAAATAAGAGGATAAATAACAGGTAGAATGATGATTGAATTCACTCTCAAATCTTGTGAGATGCTGAAGCCCCCAGCACTGCATAAACAGCTTTGCCACATGGACTCCAGTAGAACATAAAACACCCAAATATAACCCATTCTGTCCAAGAACATGGATATTGGTGCAAATAAGGAACAGAGACAACTTATTTTTAAGGAGCAGGCTACAACAGAGTGGCTCCTCAAGACTGAGAAGGAATTTGATTATCACAGAATCACAGATTAGATTGTATAAATATATCGAGGGAAAGAAAACAGAAGATAAGTAAGATATTATTAGCAAATAAAAATGTAGTGGTCAAGAATGTCTTGATATGGCAGTAAGTAGGTGCTTTCTAAGGATCAGGATACTTATCCAAATGCCTTCCAGTTGGACAAGAGTGTAGTTACTGTAAAAGCAGCTGGATAATTTGGCATGGTTTCCTGAAAGAAGGAGTGTAAAAAGCTGGAAGATCTTTTGCAGGTATGTTTACAGGCAGGCAAGAGATTTTTTTTTTAGCAGATCAAGGATTTCATGCTTCCACACCCTCCCTGCTCATTTCCCTGCTGTTGTGGAGGGTTGAGGAAGAGGAGACTCGCATTTCCTGCCTGTAGAAATGATGTGGGGTGATGTGAAGGAGAATGGGAGTAGTTAAATATGGTTTAAATACTGCCCTGGGAGTATGAATAGGCCAGATCACAACCTGATCCTTGGAAATCAGTGCCACTGAATGCTTTACTAGTGTGTATAAAGTGGCATATACTCACTTTTAACCCTTTCAGCAGCTGATCCTCAAAATTTCCTTGCGAAACCCAATTTCCAATTAACCACCAACGTTAATTATGAAAATTAGGAAACAGGCACGCAGTATTTCATGCCTGTGACCATCACTGTTTGTAATATTGGATTCTTCTTTCTGTGGTGATGCTGCTGCCACCCCCAGAGCTGAGATGCAGAGTGACTGAGCTGCACATACCGACTGTCAGCCGGATCTCCTCGTCCTGGTTGGCCAAGCCATCGTAGTAGTAAAGGTCAAATCTCCTTCCCGTTTTCCAGTCACTGAGTAAATCCTTTTCCAAGCAGAAAAGGACACTGAAGTGGCTCTCACTGCATACCAGCCAAATTGGGTACTTGGGGGTCTTCAAGTAGCAACCAACCTAAAAGACATAAAACATTAGAATGTCACGAGGGGCAGGGGGAGAAACAATTCATTGTGGAAAACATGGAATTCATGAGATCACTTATTTATTGCAGTCTACAGACTTTAATGAAGGCTCATTACAGAGTCTTGATGAGGACACCTTCAGTAAATCAGGGGAGATATAAAGCAAATACTTGGCTTTCAGTTATAGGCAGGTAATGACATCCAGCTGTAGTGCCCTGACAGCAAAAAGATCATATCCCACATGATCAGAACCAAAAGGAACCCTGTCCTCTGCAATAGCTGTAAAACCACAGTGAGTTTAGGCCAGGAATGCAACATGAGACCAATGGGAGACTCTGCTCTCATGCAAGAGTAGCTGGAAGCCAGGCAAGAGACTAATAGGATCTCAGATAACATGAGAATCCCTGTGTGGGCAACTCAGCTGAACCCAAAATCCCTTCTTGAATTAAGAGTATAATACATTCCCTTCACTTTACCATCTTCTTTTAGCTTCACAGTCCAGATTTATAAATGATTTTCAGTTTTTAGAAGAAACCAACAACAGAAGCACTTGTTTTGCTTCATTATTCTTAAAAATGAAATACTGTCACCTGAAAAACCAAAATGATTTCTTTAACAAAAGCCTTTACAAAGCTTTTGCCCTCCTTCTGAAAGTTGGAAGTATATTTATAAATATTCTGAATATTCTGTATGAAATTACATGTAAGTGATTTTCATGCTCATTCACAGATGTTTTAAACTCGAATGCTCAAGAGATTTAATCTCTAATCAGTGAGGGAAGGGGATACCAACAGCACTGCAGTAGGCAAGCCAACCTTGAGGACTGCCATCCTGGTGGGAACATTTGCACATTTCCTGGGAGCACAGAGGGCTCAGGAATGTATCTGAAACACCTGGACACCGACACACACAGTCTGGGAAACAAACAGGATGAACTGGAAGCGTTGGTCACCTCCCAGAGCTACGGCATCACTGGTGTTGGGTTTGAAACTCAATATATGCTGATTTAAAATGAGTCATGGAATTTCCTGCATCCCCTGAGGTCAGTGAGTATCTTATAGGATTTTCTTCACCTCACACTAATGTGTTTTGAGACAGATACCATCAATAACTATCATTACAAAGCTGCAGTATCAATTAAGGGTATTAGCTCCATCAGAGTAAATAAGAGAGCAAAATTAATCATTAGATTGCTCAGTGGAGCAAAGAAACTTTATTTCTTCCAGCTAGGATTTTAATATTCAGCTACAACAGGTATTTATTATCAGCTCTATTCCTGCCATTGAAATCTGTATTCTAAGGTTCCAAATAATACTGGGTTTCTTCCCCCCACTGAATTGTTGGGTTTTGTATCTTTGATAAATTGCTCAGGGAAACTCAAATCTGAAATTAAACATTTTGCTTGCAGTGGAATGCTGCTGGAAACTGGGGGGCTTTTAACAGAAAAATTCTTATACATGTTTTGTAGACACAGATTTGTGGATATTCTACAGTGCAGCCCTCAGCTCTTCACCTTGGGCACAGGTACAAATGTCATCTAATATGCTGCCAAAAGGCAGAAGTCAACATATATTCTGTTGTAATTAAAACCCTGAACAGCACCCTAAGTGATAAAGAGTGTGTGTTTTTGTCATCATTGATATTTAGAATTTATATCTGTAGAGTTACAGGAGTGCAAATCCAACTGCTTCCCTCATGAGAATTTCTTCTCATGTTAGACAACAAGTCTCCAGCTAATTAAGTAACTGTTCTCTGACTCATTACTTCGCTAAAAATCTATTTAAAACAGCCTTTTATGCAACAGTTTTGCTTTTTATGTGAATTCTTGGCTTAAAAGTAAAGACATTTTTTTCCAAGCTTACAATAATACTGCTAACAGGAGTCATCAAGAAGGGAAATACGCAGATGCAACAAAAGATGGCAAGTTAGAGGGACACGGATGAAAAGATTCAGTCTCACAAAGATGCATATTTTAATATGCAGATAAGCCAAAGCCAAAAAGAACAGCCAGTCTTCTCCTACATATGTCTGCAAAAGTGACTTCCCAGCTCCATCAAACAACATTTGACAAAATAAGATTAGAGAGATACAGAACTTTCAAAGCCACATCCACTGCAGTTCTCACTCCCACCAAGACAGGACAAACTGTGCAGATGATCAAGGGCTGTAGGAACATTCTCCAAACATGTATAGTTTTCAATTCCAATCCTTGCAGAGATCAGTGAGGGCATGAACTTTGAGACAATAAAGAGTCTAAAACTGTAGCTCAAATCCTCCTCTCCCATAAGAAGGGAGGAGTCTTCATTTGGGTTACATCACCTGCATTACCCGAGGGTCAGCTGCTGTCTTTTAACATCAAGCTGCAAAACATGTCTAGATTTTTTCTACAATATTAACATGGAACCTTGTTACTGACAAATTAAGGACAGTCCTCATTGTGAGGATTTCTTTGGCTGTTTCTTCAACCATCAGTTTTTGAGTGGACTGGAATGACAGAATTGTGGGAGCATTTAGGTTTGAAAAGACCACCAGGATCATTGAGTCCAACCTTCAACGGAACACAACCTTGTCAACTAAACCACAGAACTAAGTCCAGTTGTTTCTTGGACACCTCTGGGGATGGTGACTCCACCACCTCCCTGGGCAGCCCCTTCCAGTTCTTAACTACCCCTTTCAGTGAAGAAATTCCTCCTGATGTCCAGCCTGAATCTGTCCTGGCACAGCTTGAGGCCGTTTCCTCTTGGCCTGTCACTGGTTGCCTGGGAGCAGAGGATGACTTCCACTTCACTACAACCTCCTTTCAGGGAGTCCTAGAGAGTGATAAGGTCTCCCCTGAGCCTCCTTTTCTCCAGGCTAAATAATCCCAGCTCTCTCAGCTACTCCTCATCAGACTTACTCTCTAGACCCTTCATACACAGAAGTACACCCTCATTCAACTATATTTATAAATATTCTGAATATTCTGTATGAAATTACATGTAAATTATTTTCATGCTCATTCATAGAAATTTTAAACTCGAATACTCAGGAGATTTAATCTCTAATCAGTGAGGGAAGGGGATACCAACAGCACTGCTGAGGGGTGAGTTCTTCCTCTCTTGCCTGGCAAGGTTGGTTGGTGATCCTGGAATACAACAGGACCCTGAAGCAGGACAGGGAAGAACAAGCAGGAACACCCAGTGTTCTGACTCCTCAGGAAACCCATGAAGCTGAGTCAAGAGTGTGTGTGCCATCCAGCAAGTGCCTGACAGGGAACTGGGCCCTCCTTTCCAGTGTGTTCCCTATGCCTGTAATGCTGGCTCTGGCTTCCAAAGGCAAATCAGGGATGTGTGACTTCCATCTATTCCATGAAACATTATTTGTTAAGGGCTCAATGGCTGTATTCCTATTGCTATTCAAATATTTGTTTTCAGACAGGCTCATTAATCTTCTTCAGGCAAAAAACAAGTAAGGGGGGGGAATGAATTAGGTGTCCTTTCATGCTGCATGTTTTCAATTCCTACAGAGACTTCACTAACCCTAATCCTCTCCTCCCTTAAAATCCCTTAAGAATGCTCATAAATTTCAGGGACACCAATCTGACCTTTGGAAAATGTCAATTTTTCAAAAGCAGGCACCTTCAAAGGGCTCATTTTCAACGCTAAGGGCTGTCTTTTTCCATGTCTGATTTTCGTGTGTACTCTCACAGTGGCGAAATAAAATCTACACAAAAAAATATTAAATATACACACAAATATTTATCACTGGAGAGTTATTCCAACATCTCTACCAGAATGAGTGGACGGTACTTCACCATTCAGCTTTTATTTGCTCATTGAACAAGGCTGCCCTTTGCCATGTGAATTCTAAGAGAAACAAACAAGAGAATATGACATCAAAACCAAGGGGGATCACTGGATATGACTGATGTGATGGCATTTTTCGTCGGGAGTTTTATCACTTAATGTAATTTCCCCTCCTTGCTTGTTGGACTTTACTTTTTATTTTCTAATTAAAATTATAGTCATTCTGTTTGTTATATTCAGAACGTCCATTTGCCTGAATACAACTGTTACAGATGCTTATTTTCCAAACTAATCATAGACTGTAGTGATTCCACTGGGTGCTTGTCAAACTGAATAATTGTTGGTTGTACTAAATCCAATGGGATTGACAGACAAAAGGATAATTACACAAAGCTTTCAGAGTTACAAGGAACACCCTATTGTTTGTTCTGCCAGTGTTTTCCCCCCACAATTGCAATGACCTTTACTGAATTAATATTAAACAATGTTCCAATGGTGTTAAGACTGAAGTGTCACTGGTGTAAAACCAGATATCTTTGCAACAGCCCTTGAGTGAGCAGGAACCCTCAGGTCACCTACTCCACCAGCACCACTGAAACACCAGGTCAGCTACATTCCTGTTATGTTTGCAGATAGTTAAGGGACACTGTGAGGGTAAAATTACTGCCATTGATAGGTACTTGATTTCAATCAGATTAAGAAAAATAACATTAATGCTCACAATATCTGACATTCAGAGTATGTACAATGAAATGGCTATGCCAGGTCAGACAGAAATTGAAGAGTTTTTAGCCATAGAGTTAAAAAGTAGTAACCAACACTACCTAGGAACCCTAGATAAATTCTCTGCAGCTTTGGAACCTTTTTGTTGCAGAAAAGGGAATGTTTCTCATAATGAAATGGGGGGAGGGGGGAAAGGGCAACATCAATAAAGAAGAATAGAAAGAGATGTGTCTTCAATCCTAGGACTCCCAAACCAAAGACTCCTGGAAAGCACTGGCTTATGACTAAATTTCCCTTATGCTGCCACAGTATAAAAGACAGCAGATGTGGCAAGGAAAATAGATGTCAGGGTGCCAGAGAGCCTCTGGATCTTGTCTTTAACCTTTTCCCACTCTGTTGCTCTTCTGGTATGTCCCAACAAGTGAATAAATCGTGAGGGAGATTCAGACCCTCACTCAAACTTCAGCACTTTGCCATTTCCTCGCTGCACATGAAGGAGTTTCTAGTTCACTGTGCTAGGTCACATCACTGCAATGACAAGGATGGGTCAGGATTCACTCCACTTAACTCTTCTGCATCTATTTCTAGGCCCTCTAACTTAGGTTGGCCCTTAGGCTTTGGCTGTCTGTAAAACTTAGCAAGGAAGAGATGGGTTTTGTCAGAAATTCTGACATTTCCCCTGTTCATCCATGATAAAGGGAGTTGGCTGGATTCTGACCTGAAACATTCTCAGCCTATAAAGGACCTGAAGTGAGATGGCACAAATCCACATGCAAATGCAGGTATTTATAATCTAGAGAGACATGTGGAAAATATTTGACTTATCGTTTTCTGTTTTGTCTGTTTGCAAAGCACGAAGAGCTCTTCTAAACATGTGGGCTTTGTTATTCTTATTGTCTCAAAGAAAAACTCCGCGATTCTATTTTATTTGGAAGGATGTTGAGAAGAAAGTGATGCCAATACCCCAGCCACAGGGACTGGCCTCTGGGAAAATAACTGTCCATAACTTGGGAGGACAATAGGACTTCATTGAAGAACATTTCAGTTCCAGGCTAGAAAGGGAGATGTAAAAACAGGGAATGAAGAACACTCTTTTTCAAAGGCTAATGCTTTGCCAGCCTTGTTTCAGTTAAATTTGAATGTATCACATGATTTTGCCCCCAGTGTCACAAATGCCTCAGATAAATAGCAGCATCCCTTCCTGAAAGCACCTACAGGGCACAATATCCACCCCTATTCCCGAAAAATAAATGGAAAATTAAAACCGACCGTCAAGTTTCCATTTTGCACTTGCATATTTTTGTTGCTGGTTTCTCAAATGAGGTGGTTAAACCCCTCTTTCTAAACCTCCCCCTCCACAACCCCTGGCTTGAATCCAGTCCATCTGATGGATACAAGTGATTGTTCAGGAGACATATTTCCCAGGGGAGAAGGTTATAGGAAGGATGTTCCACAGGGCAAATAAAGCAGTGAGGTGGCAGAAGACAGAGCATGTGTGCTGAATTTAGTAATTCAAGTAGGTCCTGTCACAGCACAGAGTGTGCTGGTTTCATCAAAAGGACCAAAGATAATGTTTCCCATCTGCGGAATTTTAATGAATAAATTCTGTTTATTTCTGTTTCTCTTTGAAAAGAAAGAGGGGAAAATGAGCATAACTTCTTTGTCACTGTCCTCTCTTCGTTTTCAATAAAGCAAAAACTAAAAAGCAACAGTCTCCCAAAATGCTGACAGCTCAGGGAGTGCCTGGGACACTGTCAGGAATCAGAGTAGGGATAGTTTGGGAGGTCAGGTGGCAGGAGGTTTAACTACTGCAGCAGGACAGGTTAAAGCAGGAGAGAATCAGGGAAAACAAAGAATCAGAGTGAAGGTTCAAAAGAGACAATTAGCCTTGAGTATTTCCATTACTTCACATATACCAGCACTTAACTAAAGTGGTTTCAAAACACTTTTCAGAAGGATGAACAAATTCATCAGCCAATACCATACTGCCTTTAGAATGAGGGATTCAGACCTGTGCTCATCCCACTTCAGCCACGACCTTACTGGGGGACTTACTGGGATAAGCACTTTGACTTTTATTCATCTGTTACCCCCCTCTGTAAAATGGTAATGACACTTGGCACTCTTGGAAAGCACAGATCTTTCAATAGGAAATGACACATAATGATATATATTATTGATATTATTATCATTATTAATATTAATGAGCACAGTGGTATTTATTGATGGGTTATTAATGTTATTGAAGTTAGTATATTATTAATAATAATAATAATAGTGGTGTCTTTTAAATTTATCATCTCTGAATGCAGATTATTCTTCCCTTTGTCACAGTAAGTCTCTTAAATGACCTGCCATAAAGATGAGGAGCATCTGTTTCCATCCATTTCTACTTTTAACATCAGGAGAGATTTTGAAAAAAAGAACTTCATCATTCCAAGTCTTTCCACTTGCAATTTTAACGTGGCATTTAGGCCAAAGGCTCTGACCCAAATGCAGGGACTTTCTCACCCAGGACTGCTATAATTGGCCCTGCCCACTCCTGTTCCTCATCCCCTTCTCTGAGGTCTTGTCCCTGCTGAGAAACCACTCAGCTTCCCTGAGACTTCACTGAACTGCTGTGTCCTGCAGCTCAGCAAAAAGGGGAAACCTCCACCAATTTTCTGCGCACTGATCAGTTTTTGGAAATGTTTCTGTTGCTTTAAGAGCTCTAAATAAATCCCAGAAAACCTAAAATCTCAGTTTATGCTTCTAAGTCAAATGTGTGAGATCACGTGGAATTAATATTGCTTAAATATGGGCTTAGCACAAAGAAAAAAAAAATCCAAAAATGTGTAACTTGGCTACTGAAAAGTAACAAAATTGGGCTTTTAGCTTTTTTGCATTAAAATAGGGAATCTCACTACGGAACTAAACGTTTGCACATGAAATGGATGGAATGGATCCATCTGTCATTGGGAAACAATTTGCAACAAGTAATTACACTGCAAAAAGCTCTTCTGAGTGTGGTGATATTTCAGGGCTGAGAGTGATGATCAGACATTAACAGTTCCAGACAAATTACACAGAGCACACATTTTTCTAATCAGCAGAGATAACACGTTCGGCATGATCCACTGGAAGAGATTAATGGATTGGGAACACAGTGGGATTCTCCAGGAGAAAAAGGAAGGGATCATTTTGTTTTCATTTGCTACTGTTGAAGTTTGACAGGAGGACTAATTCAGTTCACATGCCCTCATGGTATTTTCAACTCCCCATGCCAAGGGAATTGTGGATTATATACAAATACTCCACGTATTAGACAAGGGAGATAAAATGGTATAGAAATCTTTCTCCACGTGGATTTTCAGCAACCAGCCTGGAATATCTTGAATATCTCTTCCTAAATGTGTTGGCAAGTTGGAACAAGTCTAGAGCAGAGCAGAGTAAAAACAAGCTTTGGACAGGATGTACTGATGAAAAAGGGAGGAACTGTTACATCAGCTGCAAATGTCCAGCGGATGGGGAGGAATTGTTTAGGGGGCAGGTTGGATTAGAAGTAAAATTATAATCAGAGGAAACTAAGTGAATGAAGAGTCAGATTTAATATTAGTGTATCCAAACACGAGCTGTGTAGTAGATATTAAAATCTCCAAATTCACAAGTACCTACAAATCTGTGTTTGTACTTATATTTTAAAGTAGAGAGGTATGAGAAGAAAGGTAAGATCACGGTTAGATGGCCGAAAATCAGCTAAAAAATGGCCATCTGAACAAAGAGACAGGAACTTCAGGGACACAGATTTTGAAAAGAAACCCTGCTATATGACAGGACATAAAAATATCCGGAATTATCCCCTGGGAGATTGGCTGGATGTGACCTAAAGGGAGTTTTCCAACTCCGATGTCTATGATTCACCATACAGCACGCTCAGGATTTTCTTGCTACTGGAAACAAAAAATAAAACCAACCAAAAATGACAGTCCTTTTCCATGACTGGTGTCAGTTCCCAGCCTCACAGCCACACTGTAATTGGATGCTGAATCCACTTACTGAGAGGAAGAAAAGAGTCAGTTTGAAAATTCTATTCTCAGTTCCACTCCTGCAAACTACCAGTGACATTTATTTTTCCTAAATTGCTCTAAATATTGTAACAGAAAGCAGAATCTGGCCCTCCATGCTGAAGCCACAGTGGAGACACCCCGATTTGAGGCCAAAGTCCACCAGAATGTGACTTTTATTCTAGTCCTGAGCAGACACTGCATCTGAACTGAAATGCAGAGAACTCCCAGATGTTCTTAATAAGAACCAAGACAATTTGCAGCAGCTGCCCAGCTAGTGTAGACTCTAAAAAGAAAAGGAAACTACGTCTACTGGAGTTTCTGTAACTGATTAAGAGCCACTGGCATGGAAAAACAGATCCTTGCTCATGATTCCAGCTCCCAGGCAAGAGCACAGTAGTAGAAACAGAACCCCTCTACCATATAATTTGCAGAATAAGTGGAAAATGGTGTCTGATTCCCTGGGTAACATACTTTATTTTTAGAGGGCAGGTGGGAAAGAAATAGCTCTTACCTGCACTGACCTCACTTACCATTTTGCTACTCCCAAGTCATTTTCCTCCCAATAGAGTGGAAAAAATGCTACAGTGATGCAGAACCATTTTTTGAGGTTTTAAATGTTACATTGTTTATAGAAAAGAAAAAGAAGCGTGAACTAGACACAGATGCTTACTTATTTTTAGCCCACTCTGTTCTGAATTCATCTGATTTGGATACACTGATATAATTTCTTGACTGAATTCAAGCCTTTTATAATATTATGAATAATGTAAATGATTGTGTTAATTAAAAAAAAACCAAAAATTATTATTTGTAAGTAGTAGGAAAATGTAGCTGGGAAAAGGTTAAAACCAGGCTTTCTTTTCAGTCATACATTTATACTGTATCAGTACAAACAATTTCTTTGGCAATCGCTTTCAAATTTTTATAGAGGTGCTGACTGCAAATCCAGATGGGACTGCTACAAGTATCCTATCTGGCATCCAACACAGGTAAGAGAATTTCAAATAATATTCTTGAATCAAACACAAGACTGTCTGTTTAAGATAGAATATGTCTTTAGGAAAGATGTCCATTTCCCCAGCACTGTACACGGAAAACCAGTGAAATCCTTACAGAAGTTTGCCCAGAGGTAAACTAATGGCTGTCACTTCTTTGAAATTTTTAATCTATCTTTTAATTCTCATGATGAATACAATTAAAATACTACTTTCCAAAGCATGTTAAAGGGAACAATCCCACTGCACTAACACCTATTTTAACTTCTATAATTTTTTTTTTACTGCTCATACACCCCCACCACCCCTCCAGCACAGAGCAGAGCAACCAAACCAAGCCCATCATTGCCTTGCTGCTTTACTCACCCCAAGTATAATTTTAAATGTAACTGTTTTCTTTTTTGCTTAAAGCCAGGGAAAGGAAATACCTGACAGACATCATAGTGCTCGAAGAGAGACAGCAAACCGATGTCACTGCGGCTGGTGATGCCTTTCAAGATCGTGATATTCCCATTGCCAGAGTCCAGCTCTATCACGTTGTTGAAAACATTGGACACAGCTTTGCCAGTCAAAAGCAGGTTCACCAGTTCCTGTTCGTGACATGTTTAAAACCAAACCAAACCAAAACAAAAAACAAACAGTACTTAAACATCAGCACAAGATTCATTCAGGATTGATAAAAGTTACGCGTGTACCAGAGCCTTAATTTATATCATGGCCTTTAATTTTAGGGTTAGGATTAGGATTGCTTATGAAAAATTCTACAGATACTTTGGGCAAAGTCTACTCCTAAAGCAAAATGAGGAAATCTTAGTGGAGTTTCCAATATTCATCTTTCCAGAGGCAAACTGCTCATAACCAATTTATTCTTACATCCAACTCTCAACCTTCTCATATTAGGGTTGTTTTGTTTGAATTAAAATATTGTGGTGTCCCTTTTTCTCTACAATGGAACTACAGCATGAATGAGATATATCCAAAGCCTGTCCAGTACTATCTGATATTTCTGTATGTGCTCAGTGATGTATTTTGAACAAGATTTGTTACATTATTTTTCTTCCTTGCTGATTATTTCTGGATGAACTCAAGCCTCATTCAGTAAGACATTCACCTATATGGACCCATATCACTAATATTCTCATCTTTACCATAGGGGATTGTAGATTATTTCCTCTCCAACTGAAGTAGGGGTTTGTCAGAGGATAAATACATGTGACAGGGTGGGGGATGTGCACGTGCACATGCAAGTGTCCATAAAGTTCAAGGAACGGAGACATGGGACACATTTCTTAGTGTAACATCCCACAAGGGTCAGCTGGGATGTAACCAGAGCTAAGAGCACACTGTGCAGCAGCAAGGAACCACCTGTGAATAAATACCATATGGCAAGAAATAGGAGGGGAAACAACAAGAATAAAGCTTCCAGAAAAAATAGTCCGAATTACTCTGCCTAAAGATATGAACAACTCTGTTGTAGCCAGTTTGGAACTGGTTTCAAAACTGCTGCACACAATTACAGTTCTGTGTTTCTCCTGAAGGACTCCCCAGAGTTTATGGGTTCTTACTGATGTTTTTAGCAGTTCTAATCCACCAGTGATGTTCCATCACCTTCTTGAGGAATCACTGCGTAACCACAGTAAAAAAGTCTTCTAAGCAACAGTACAGGAGGACATGAAGCCTGCCTTTGGCAACCAAAGTGGCAGTAGAATCATAGAATCAAAAAGTTTGGAAGAGACCTCTAAGATCATCAAGTCCAGCTTGTCAAGCCAGCACCACCATGGTCAGCACTAAACCACCTCCCAAGTGCCACATCCATAAGTTTTTTGAACACTTCCAGGGATGGTGACTCCACCACTTCCCTGGGCAGCTGTGCACCATATTCACACCACACCATTGCCCAGCTCCCAGCTTTGGGGGAATCTCTGTCACAGAATTCTGTGATTTACATGTCCAAGGCAAAGTGTTTCCAACTGGGTGGGTGCCTCTGAAGGACTCGAGTCAGTGGGAGACGTTTGTTACAGGACATGAGCTGGAATTAAGCTACGTACAGTTTATGTCCTACATGTCAGCCAGCAATTCAGGTTGGTGATTTTCAAGCACCATGTGGCTTTTAGACACATCTATAACAAGTCAGGGACTCCAGCTTGAATTATCAGTTATCTTCCATCAGCAGCAGCTCAGTTAGTACAGCAGTGACCACTTACAGAGGAGTTGTAGGATCAGACAAGACCCTCTCTGAAAGGACAGGGAGGAAACACAGTGGTATCTCAGCACTAAAATCAACTAAGGAGTTCAAAAGAGGCAGATGAAAGGAGTATAAGGACATGCACATACAGGTACAGACACACACATAGACCAGAAAACCATGCTGGAAATCATAAGCTCTGAAAGCAAAGATAACAATTTGCCAAAACAAAAGGTAAAAGAATAAAGGATGAAGGTGCTGGACATTATGGAGATGAAGTAAAAAAACTAAGGAAATTTGTGGAGACGTTGGAGTAGCCTTCCAGTACCTAAAGGGGCTCTAACAGAGCCGGAGAGGGACTTTTCACAAGGGCATGGAGTGACAGGACAAGGGGGAATGGCCTTAAGCTGAAGGACTGTAGGTTCAAATGATATTAGGAAGAAGTTCTTTACTGTGAGAGTGGGGAGGCCCTGGCACAGGTT